CGGTTCCCCTTACTACCTACTATTCCTTTCTTTTTGCATAAATATCATCGTTTATTTTGGTTAATTTCATCTTTGTTGATATCCATCGAGACTTGTACCTATGTATTTCTTTCTTGATCTTCTTATTTTTACTTGCAATATATCCATTGAGACCTGTGCCTATGTGATTCTTTCTTAGTATGCAGCCCCACCCCATCCGTTTTTATTTTTAAACCGGTTCCCCTTGCTACCTACTATTCCTTTGTTTTTTTCATAATCAACATCCTTTATTTGGGCTCATTTTATCTTTGTTGATATCCATCAAGACTTGTGGCAGGCCCTCCCCCCTGCACCCCCCCCACCCGCTTTTATTTTTTAATCGGTTCCCCTTACTACCTACTCTATTTCTTTTTTTTCATAAATATCATCATTTATTTGATTTCATTTTATCTTTATTGCTGTCCATATAGATTTATACCTATATATTTCTTTTATATTCTTTCTTGGTATGTATTACAAGGGATCCCCCCACCCACTTTTATTTTTTTCACCGGCTTCCCTTGCTACCTACTCTCTTGCCTTTTGTTCATAAGCATCATTTCTTAGGATTTATTTTCTCTTTCTTTTTCTTTCAAACTATCCATCGAGACTTGTGCCTATGTACTTCTTTCTTGATTTTCTCGTTCTTATTTGCAATATATCCATTGAGACTTGTGCCTATGTGCTTCTTCTCTCTACTACTAGTACTGCTAGTACTGCTACTACTACTGCTGCTACTACTACTGCAGCTACTACTACTGCAACACTTGCTTTGAAGACCAGCAGCTTTCGGACACACATTTACAAGGAACTTCGGGGAATCATTTTCAGCAGCAACTTTGAATAATTTGGGGAGTTATTTTCGGGAGCATTTTTGGAAACAACTTTGGGGACCAGCTTTGGGGACTGTGGAGAGCAGCTCTGGGGGAGCTTCGGGGATTTTGGGGAGCAGATTTCGGGAACAGCTTTGGGGAGCAACTTTCTGGAGCAACTGTGGGGCGCAACTATGCGCGGAGCAGCTTTCGATGACGCCTTTTGGGAACAACTTTCCGGGTGCCACTTTGGCAAACCACTTTAGGAATTAGCTTTTAATAGCAATTATAGGGAAAATTTGGT